GTTTTCAATTGTGTACCAGTTTAACGTTGAATATTATTTATGATTTTAACTTTATACACAAGTGCCAGAATACTATAACCCTATATTATGTTCAAACTTTTCTGAATAAAGCTTAAGGATTCTTAGTATAGGGTTTATCCTTATGTATAAATGATCAGTACTTGTGTACTGTTTAAAATCAAATAAATAATTAAAATGCAACATTTCATATTTACACAGCTTCTACTTAAAAAACACTCTGTTACATGTTTCAGTGTACTTCTACAACATCTTCCAGAGTTATTTGCAAGACAATTTATACTTTTTTGCAGGTCATGTGGTATTACATTTCAGAGTTTTTAAGTGGAAACCATTATTAGTCTTAATGATTTTTTTAATTGTGTAAATAAGAAATGTTGCATTCTAATTATTTATTTGATTTTAGGATTTTCCTTATAATCATCCTACATGTTTAAGATGAAAGACAAGGTTCATAGTTTCCAGCTGTCTACCTTAGGTAGTACAGTACTGTCAGATTAGCTTTATCACAGAGAAAAGAACAGTCTTTAATTAAATAATTTTTCCATCTGACATGATATGAGATTACTTAATATTGTTAAATTATTTCAAACTCATCAACAATAACATGTACGGTCACACAGAACAAGCTTGATTTACTAAAAAACAGACAACTTCATTACAAAATTTACAAAATATATTACATTTTGTATAACTGATGCTTTAAAAGAGTTAAAAAAATAAGGTTATATATTAGAGGCTGACATAGATTCTCAAAAACCCATGGAACCCATCAGATTTTAAGTTACCCGACTCATGTCTCAATTATTAACTAGAATTTTAAAGAAAATGTAGAAAATATGAGAACAATGCAGTTTGTAACTACTGGTCTCTGGCAGGCATAATAAAAACAAATTTGAAACAGGCTTTGCATCCACACTGGAGCTTCTTAACTGACAGAATATAAAGTTTTGCCAGAGAACAATAACACACAATGGTAAAGGATCTGAAGAGAGGAAATGTATATGCAGCATTTAACTCTGTATTATGTGATCAAGTTAATGCAAGATTTGTTTTTCTTTACCCAAACAGAGCACCAGTACTTTTCACAGTAGGTAACCAGTTTTAGATTTTCTACCCATGCTGACCTCTATTATATACCTGTTATCAAAAGATGACAAGCAACATTCACAGACAATAAAACAGAAATATCATCTGAAAAAGAATGTCTGATGTAAATAGCTTAATAAATATCAGAAAGAAAACAATACATACTCTTAAAGGGTAAGTGTAAGGTCTATCAAAAAGCTCTTATCAAATAAACTGAAATATTACCAACAAATTCTGGTGTTCCCATTAGTTCTCTGATCTCAGTATCTACTGAAATATGTCGTGAGAGTCCAAAGTCTATCAACTTTATGTGTTTGCCAGATCTGTCCACTAGTAGCACATTCTCAGGCTTGAAAAGTAAAGAAAAAATATGAGATCATTGAAAGTGAACAGTGATGCACTGGAACTAAATATTAAATAAAAAAATTAAACATAATATTCTAAGAGTTAGTTGAAAATTTCAAATTAGGTAATAAATGAAATCAAACATGATTCAAACCAGTGTGTTCTGGTCAGTTTTTGCAATACATTACTATCAGATGTGGTAGATGTAATAGGCTTGGGAGAGTTAAGAGAAAGCTTGATGAGTACTTGGGGATTCAGGGCTAGATACGTGTTTATAGAAACAAATGGACAAAACAACACGAGCCAAGGGTACCTTTCTTGTTCCTCAAATGTTAGTCAATCTTCACAATGAAAATTCACAAAATTCTCAAGCGTTATTCTAGTCAGGCCTAAAATTTTGCCATTTTTGGTGAATTGTGAAATGTTAAAGAAGATCACCATCGTGTGTAAAACAGGGTGTGATAAAAGTAGTTCTCTATGCACAATTTCTTGTTTTGTGGGGAGTCAGTGTAGAAGATCTAAACAGGCTAACTTTAACAAAACATCTTAAACTTTCACAAATGGTGTTAGTTGTTAAAGAACATCACCTGGAACATATGTGACATAATGGATGGGATGACCTACATGGATCAACAGGTCCCTTGTTGTCCTTAAATTATATGAATATTATATGTTCCATTATATGTTTTAATCACCAAGTCAAATTCTCAAATATTTTAATGAATTCATTCTCTTCAAGGATGGCTATACATCTTATATTTTTTCTATAGAAGTAAAAGGTGATAGATTTAGTCTCAATTGTTCAGAAAACTCTACTGTTGTAAGAGGACAGTTGATTTTCAATGTTGTGATTAAGTGACAAACTTGTTGTTTTTAAAAGGTATAGCTTTTTCAAATATACAACTAAAATGATATGAACACCAAATAGAAGAAATATTCATTTTCCTATACTGTTAAATTACCAATGCTACTAGCTTTTGTTATGAAGATGACAAAAGATGAAAAACTAACTACAGAATTTTATAGAATTTTACTTGTCAATGTTCCCTCATAGCTTGATCTTAAACCAAAATAATCATTATGACATAGCACACTACATAATTGTAAATATGCAATAGTTGATTCCTGTAATTATTAATAAATTTCAACTTCTAACGTTTAAGTCCACACATAATATATAGACAAGATATACTGACTCACACCTTTAGGTCAAGATGAGCTACACACATATCATGCAGATGATTTAATCCTAGCAGTATCTGCCTGATGAAACCCGATGTCTCTTTTTCACTAAGGAATTCTTTCTGGGATACAAACTCAAACAGTTCTCCTCCCTTTATTCTAGGAAAAAATGAAGTAATTTAAGTTTCTGTGGTTTAAAAAACAATCCAACAACAACACTCACGTGAACTCTTACGAGAAAAAGGAAAATCCTATTGATTTTATGTTGTCTGCAGTAAGAAAAACCTCTGTATTACGTCTTCAGCTTTAAAGTTTAGAAACAATTATATATTCTTAAACTTAAGTCTGTGATATACTGATTAAGATTTGTTTCCTTGTTATAGTAAAATAGAAGAAACTGTAAGTTTAAAAATCATTGAAATATAATGTGTAATAATATTAAAGCCTCAGCAGGGTAGTGGTAAGCACATCAGAATAGAAATCAGCTGTGACAGAGAGTCAGTTCCACTGTTTGGTTAAGAGTAGCCACTTCAGTCAGTACATGTTGTTGACTGGTAGCTCTTTCATCTGGTCAACATTTTAAAATTAGGGATGGTTATGCTCAAACCATGGGGAGTTTTTGACCTGGCACTTAGCCCATTGTGTCCATAAAGTTTCATTTAGGTGATGAAATAAACTATTATTAGAGAGCCCTGATCAAGAAGTTTAGCAGCTATGTGAATGTCTGTAAACATAATCAGTATATTAGAAGAAAATAACAACAACAACAAACACCATTAGAAAACAAACTCCATCAAGTGTTCAAATTATGTTAAAATTTTTCACACCATATAAGTTCATCAAATATTTAAGTACGTACCCCATATTTTGACAATGATCACCTCTGCTGAAGTACTAAAAGGTAAATATTTTGCTTCTCAAAAGCAATAAATATGGTTAATTCTGGCATTAGATGTATGGTTATATTTGTTTTAATAAAAACTAATAAGGAGTTAACCCACAACAACATAGACAAATTTCAACAATGCAGTAGATAATATTGTTGTAATGTGTTCTGTTGTTGGGCAGATTCATTTGAATTATTTGGTAAAAAAAAAACAGTAAGTCTAGTCCACTAGATGATAAGGAATTAACTTATTTTTTCCATAATGCTTGCTACAGGCTATGTTAACTTTGCTAGAAGTTGCAGGCTTAAGTTCACTAACAAAGTTGTTATAGAAACTATGATACTAATGTATGCTTAATTTACTTATAAAATTTTGAATAGAAATTTCCTGAGTAACTGAATAAACATAATAATTCTCACTTCTAACTTTGAAATGAATCATTCATTAACTCACTGCTTCACTGATTATGGTAGTTATATCATACCCTTGTTTCTAGATACTGCAAAAAATCTCTAGATATTGTTTTATGTGTCTTCTAGCAAACAAATATCTAAATTAAAATATTAAAAATATAGCACACAACAATATTATAAACTAATGATTACAGTTTATGAAAGCTATATGAACATATGGAAAATAGTTTAATGAACAAATAATTTATTGCTCAACAAAAAAATTGTCATTATTCTTGCTCATTTTATTAAAGCAAATTTTCATTTTGGTTACACAACTGGAATCTACTGAAAATAATTTGATATCAGATACGTAAGAGTTGAACCAGAAAAATGTCCTTTATAGCAACTTGTTTAATCCCAAGTTTATGTAGTAATCTGCCTGATATTGTCCAATTCTTAAGCACAGCTGAAGTTGCATGATTTTTTCTACATGAAAAATAAGTTCCAAAAAAAAAAAAGATTGGGTTGTAGCAATAATCACTAGTGCTTGGTATTTTCAACCTAGATGACTCTTTATGCGACACACAAACTAAACGGCTAGGTCACAGACCACAAAGGTTTAGACATACAGCCACCAGTTAATTTAGAGCTGCTGACCAGATAGAGGGCATCCAGAAAACATCACCTGCTATTTCAACCAAAAGGTGAGATTGACTATTACTGTTACAACTGCCCCACATAGAAGACCACAGAATGTATTCAGCAGCATATCACAGATGGAACCTTGGACCTTCTGTTCTGCATGTTCACCATTACATCAAGCCTGACTCGTAGTAATCCCTATTAATGTGTTTAAGTATTTCAGCTTTAAATATTTTTTATGCTCAACCTGAGTTCTTCACAATAACAATTATTAGTAAATTTTTCTTTGCTGTTATGCGCAAAACTACACAATGGCTATCTGTGCTGTGTCCATTGCGAGTATCAAACTCAGATTTTGAGCATCATAAAAACTCGAGCTGACATCCGAGCTGCTGGGGGATAGTTCGTTTTTACCACATAGGTTTTGATAGCTCTTTACAAACCTACAGGCCTGTTATTTATTATATTAACTTTTAAGTTTCTGTAATCTCTCACAACTGCAGTTTAAAAGCTGTCTGTAGTATTTTAAAATATCCCTGGAAGTTTTGTACGTTTTAAAACTTAAATTACTACTAGGTTTATAAATTTCATTTCATTATTTTTCATAATTAAACCACCATTCCTACATTTTAGAAACACAATGTTCTAAACGCTGCTTACTGATTGTGATTGAACATAAACTTGAACAGTCGAAAATAAAATGATTTGGTACTATACTGCTTCTCTCTCTTTTAAACATACACACACTAGTATATTTGTACTTAAATGTATCTAGCTTAGGCAAAAATAACGGTGAATAATGAATCTAAAATGTACTTACAAATACATACACACACACACACACACATATATATATATATATATACACATACATACATATCCAATTTCAAATACCATGTTTTACAAACACATACTCAGATCAAGTTACAATGTTATATATCGCTCGTCTATGGCATAAATATAACTTATAATGTAGGGTTTGTATAATTACAGACAAAGTTATCCTCTGTTATATCAACACAAGGCAGTGGAAAATTCATTTATTACGACTTCACATTAGTTTAGGTAATTACGTAATTTTAACCCTGTCTCTGTACTGTGCATCACATGTGATACACAGTTACATTTATTTGATATACAGCTGATGCTCGTGAACGTGGCAATAGTAACTGGTTGTTTTGGTTCAACGTATAAGATTAGAAGCGAGCTTCGTATGAGCATCGCATGTGAATGATGATTACTTTCACTGAAGAGAAAGTGTAAACCTAAAATAAATACAACATATTTTTACATAATTCTTTATATTTTCATTCAATAATACCAGAAGGATATGCTTCACTCATGCCCACTTGGGTAAGTTGTCAAATAAGTGTATCCACAAAAATCCTTAATATATTGACCTAAAACAGGAGAGGGTTAAAGAGAAGAAACCCCACACAATAAATTTTCGATACACAATTTTTTGCCTAAACTATTTATGTGTATAAATTAGAGAAATCTGGAGCAAAAGAAAAGACAAAAACTATAAATATTTTGTTCAGAAGTAAATTATTTGAGTGTGAAATTGGTTAAAATGTAATCGCTATATCATAACCACTGACGTAACACGCATTTTAACAGATAATACTGTTAATGGATGGAGACGGCTTGAATGTGTAATGAAGAAAAACTTTAATATAACAGCAAATGTACAACGTTTCGACAAGGTTTTTTTTCATCAAAAACCTTTCCAAAACTTGTTCATTTTCTTTTTTTTTT